TGAGATGTTTGTCTAAGAGGAAGGTTTGTCATTTTTCAAAAAGCAGAGAGGTATGTGTCTCCATCTAAGAAGATGGGGAGGTGTTCACTGTGTCTCTTTACTCATTTCAGAGGTATCAAATCTTGATAAGAGAATGAACTGTGTATCTGAATTTGTCTTTCTGGTGTGCACCCTGGATGATGGGTTGGAGTTTGTGTGCTCTGGAGCTGGCAATTTGACATCCAGGTTAACAGCCAATGGCCTGATAGGTCAGTGTTACTATTTTTTTTTTTTCTGGTTTTAGAATTTTACTTATTTCTTTTTAATGTGTATAATTCAATAGTTTGTTATTATATTCACAAAGTTCTGAACCATCACCACTGTCTAATTCCAGAACATCTTATCACCACAAAAAGAAACCCACACCATTAGCAGTTACTCTCTATCCACCTTCCCCCCAACCCTCTGGCAATCACTAATCTGCTTTCTGTCTCTATGGATTTGCCTATTCTGGACATTTCATATAAATGAAATCACACAACATATGGCCTTTTGTGTCTGGCTTCTTTCAGTTAGCATAATATCAATATTTCAAAGGCGCATCCATGTTGTAACATGTATCAGTACTTTATTCCTTTTTATGACTGAATAATATTCCATCGTGTGGATGTACCACATTTTGTTTATCAATATATCTTGTGATGGACATATGGATTGTTTCCACTTTGGCTGTTGGATAATTCTGTTAAGAATATTTGTGGGAACTTCCCTGGTGGTGCAATGGATAAGACTCTGCGCTCCCAATGTACGGGGCCTGGGTTTGATCCCTGGTCAGGGAACTAGATCCCACATGCATGCCACAACTAAGAGTTCTCATGCCACAACTAAGGAGCCTGTGTGCTGCAACAAAGGAGCTGGCGAGCCACAACTAAGAAACCCTGGAGCTGCAATTAAGGAGTCTGCCTGCCACAATTAAGGAGCCCACCTGCTGCAACTAAGACCTGGTGCAACCAAACAAATAAATACTTTTTTAAAAAAAGAATATTTGTGTATAAGTTTTTGTGTGGATTTGTGTTTTCAGTTCTGTTGGGTATATACCTCGGAGTGGAATTGCTAGGTCATATATAACTGTATTTAATTTTTTGAGAAACTGACTGCTTTCCAAAGCAGCCATGCCATTTTACGTTCCAACCATCAAAATACGAGTGTTCTAATTTCTCCACCTTGTTGCTGACAGTTTTTATTGTCCATAATTTTTTTGTAGTCATCTTAGTGGCACCTCACTGTGGTTTTGATTTGCGTTTCCATAATGACTAATGATGTCAAGCGTCTTTTCTGTGCTTGCTGGTCATTTGTGTATCTTCTTTAGAGAAATGTCTTTTTAGAGCCTTTGCCCATTTTAAAACTGGGTTTCTTACATTTTTATTACTGAGTTGTAAAAGTTCTTTAAATAAAAGAAAAAGTTATTTAAATAGTCTGAATACAAGTGTATCTTATCAGGTATACGATTTGCAAATATTTTCTTTCATCCTGTGGACTGTCTCTTTCACTTTCTTGATATTGTCCTTTAAAGCGTGAAAGTTTTTATTTTGATGAAGTCCAGTTTATCCATTCCTTTTTTGCTTGTGCATTTGGTCATATCCGTTGCCACATCAGAATATGACCGCAGATAATGCAGGGCCCGTCTTAGATCACTGAAAGGACTTTGACTCTGAGTGAGTGTGCAGAAGAGAGAGCTGGTCAGCCATATCTTAAAGGAGTCCCTCTCATTGAGAGCAAACTACAGAGGGCAAGGGCAGCAGCAGGAAGACCTGTCAGGAGGCTGCTGCCACTGCAGATGAGGGAGAGGAGCCTTTGGTGGCAGTGGGGGTGATAGGAAGTGATCAGACGCTAATGCTCTTTGAGGGCAGAGCCAAAAGGATTTGCTGATGGGTTGGATGTGCCTATGAGAGGAAGAAGTCAGTGATGCCTCCATGGTTTGGGCCCTACTGTGTGCCAGGTGCTGGCGGCACTGAGAGATTCGTGGTTCGGAGCCTTTCCTCACACATTATCTCAAACAAAAGCTCTGTTAGTCCAGCTCTTCTAGAGTTGATCTTGATGGTAACTGGAATGGCCAGCCACATGTGGGCGAGGTCACGGGGCCTCAAGAGTCAAGCAAGACAAAATAATAATAGTTGAGATGTAAAAGAAAGTCAAGGGCCTTTAGTTCCTCCTTAAGCTTTGCAGATACTAAAACCCCCAGCAGGTGGAAGACGTTAACTGTGTGCTGACCACCAGCACGTAGCCCCCAGACCAGCTGGAGCTGAGGATTGATAATACTGACCCCGTGATACCACCTTCTTACCTCCCCATCAACCAATCAGAGAATTGTGCACAAGCTGATTGCATACCTCACAACCCCCTCCCTCACCTTGCCTTTTTTTTTTGGTTGCGCCACGCCGCTTGCGGGATTAGTTCTCAGTTCCCAACTAGGGATTGAACCTGTGCCCTCAGCAGTGAAAGCGTGGAGTAATAACCACTGGACCGCCAGGGAATTCCCTCACCTTGCCTTTAAAAACCCTTCCCCCAAGAGCCATCGGAGAGTCTGGGTCTTTTGAGTATGAGCTGCCTATTCTCCTTGCTTGACCCAGGTTGGGCGCATTGGCAAGAAACGCTGTACTTTCCTTCACCACAACCTGGGGTCAGTAGGTTGGCTTTACTGCGTTTGGGCTAGTGGACCTGGTTCAGTAGCATAGAGGTGGCACCTGATGGGCTACAACAGAAGTGCTGAGCTGAGCACTTAACGCCCATTTGTCTCAGCTCATCTGTGTAACCCCACAAGGTAGGTATGTTCACTCCCATCTAACAGGTGAGGAAACTGAGTCTCAGAGAGGCCCACACCTGGCTGGAAACCCAGCTCTGCCCAGCTCTACTTCACCACAATATCAGATTCTGGAGCCAAAAAGAGACAACGGGGGAAATGAACATTCTCTTTTCTTTCTCTTTTTTTTTTTGGCTGCGCTGTGCGGCTTGTGGGATCTTAGTTTCCTGAACAGGGATTGAACCCGGCCCCTTGGCGGTGAAAGCGCAGAGTCCTAACCGCCGAACTGCCTGGAATTTCCTCTCTTTTCTTTCTTTATTCCACACGGTGTGTTGCTGACAGGTCTGAAGGTTCTCCGTGCTGACTTCCTGAAAAAGGAGATGCCATTCCTCACCACACGTTGCAGTTCCAGATGTGCAGACTCTGCTCTGGTGAGGCCTGGTGTTTACCTGTGGCTGGCGCTCTGCAGGCCCTGCAGGCCTGGGACAGCACACCTGCAGCTCACCTGCGCACGGGGTTCAGGGACCGGACCATGCGGATTCTGATCCTCAAGTCTGAGCCAGGACTGTCTTCACCTCCCTGGTCCTCAATTTCCCCATCTGTAAAGTGGGAATGATATGGGGTGCAATGAGGATGCAGTGGGAGATGGGAGAGACCTGGCCCGTGGTGAGTCCTCCCTCCTCAGATGCTCCTGTTCCTTGGCTAGGAGCTGGAGGATGGCTGGGGAGGGGCAGAGAAAAGAGAAGAGACTCAGCTGGGCAGCTGCTTTAGAAGGGTCTGGGATGTTTCTAGAGATGAATCATAGGGCTGAGGTTCGCTGACACCATGGAAGTGTGGGCTGGAGGCAAGTGGGCAATAGTGATTAAAACACCACACCTGGGGTAATAGATAATGGAAATGGCTCAGCTGCTGGTTATGATTGGCTATATCTATGGGCATATGTGCAATTAGGGGAACAGATCTACAGATCTGGTGACAGGGAACAGGATAAGGAGGAGGGTCTTGCTTCTTTAATGCCGTTTTTTAAGTTTTATAAATAGATTTAGTAGATCAGCTTTACAAGAGGGTATATGACACCACTTCCTGGGAGAAAGCTTTCATTCCTTCTCCAAGGGAGGGACAGGCAGAGGGTCTCCTCAGATGTGCTGGTGGACCTTACAGTCAGGACGGTCTCCATTCTCTTCAGTCAAGACGAGATAAGTACCTACTATGTTCTGGGCTGAGGGCCCCCTGCTCAGCATGGATGACAGGACGTCACGGTCCCCAACATCAGGGAATATATAGTGCCCCCAAGTTCACGTGCATCCCTCTCACAAACATTTACCTTGTATCACTCACCCACTCACTCAGCAAATAATGCCGAGTACCTACTGTGTGCCAGGAAACATCCCAGGCTCCAGGAATCCACAAGTAAAGCAGTGCCTGGCCTCCCAGACCTGCTCGTTCTAGTGGAGGGAGTCGGACAGGAAGCCAACAAGAGCACAGGGTCATTTCAGACAGGGACACATGGGCCCAAGAAACCAAAGCAAGAGGGTCAGGGCAAGGCAGGAGGGTTCTCCTGGGAGGTGGCCTCCCTGATGGGACCCACAACCCATGCAGGAGCCACCACTAAAGACCTGAGAGCAGGGTTCCCAGCTGGGGCACAGTGTGTGACCCCCAGGGAGGCCACACTGGCCATCAGCATTGCCGTGAACTGTCTGTCTGAGGACCAGAGGCTGGGCATTGCAGGGAGGAGAGGGAGGGGACTGGGTGGGCTGGAGAAGCTGCACGGAAACCATGTGCAGGCTATAAGCAGGGGTTGGGTTTGATCCCAAGAGCAGTAGGGAGTTCCCGGAGGTCATGACATAACCTGACCAACGTTTCCTTAAGTCCTCCGACAGCTGGCAGGGTGGGCAGTGGCATCTGCCTCTTCCAGGTGAGAGAAACAGAGACTAAGCCACTGGCACTGGCTTCCCAAAGCAAATGAGCCTGTGCACCTGAGCAGAGCCCAGCGAGGGCTAAACAGGCGGGGAAAAGAAGCAGGTGGGGGACACGTATGTGGCAGAGGCACAAGAAAGTGCCACACGCGGAGACAAGAGGGAGGCCTGGGTTCCGTTGTGGTGAACACAGAGGCCGTGGAGAACAGGAGGCAGAGGAGATTCGTCCAAGTTGAGCAGGAAATGAAAACTGGACACTCGGGGCAGAGGGAGGCCTTGCGGCCCTGGCGGGCGAGGGCAGTTGGATGGGGAAAGGCTGCAGGTTGCAGAGCTGGACGCAGGGCTCCAAGAGGCAGAGGAACAAGTGAGGAGGCTCGAAGGGGGCTGGGAGCTGAGGCTGGGGCTGAGGGGGCAGCACGTGTCTTGAAGCGAGGGAACCTCTGTGGGGGCCACCATCAAGACTCTGTGCCCCTAGGGTGTCTCCAGGGCTGCATCTTGGTGTTTCCAACAACAGCGTGACGGAGCTGGACCCGAGATCATCAGACAGACGTTCCTGGCAGGCAGCAATTCACAATGAGTCCAGTGTGGAGGTGAGGGCCCCCAGGCTGTTGCATAAGTGGCTGGCTGGCTTCTGGCAGGTTCCTGCCTTATCTGAGGAGCCCTTTCCTTGCCGTGCTGAATATTCACTCCCATGATGCCTTCAACACCTGAGCCCAGACCCAGTGGGCCATCTGCTTTTAGGGGGAGGCCGCCCACGCACGGTGACACCTTCACTTCCTGTCCAAGAGGCCTAAACCTCTCAGGGATGTTCTAGGACATTCAGTCAATGACGGTGCTGAAGACCAACCCCCAGCAGAGTGTAGCAGGGGCTGCGCCTCCAAACGTCTCAGTGTTTGCTCCCTCACCCTCCCTGAGGCTCTTAGCAGCTCTGACTGTGGTCAAACCTCCTACATCTCACCTCCTCCCCTTTTCATTTCAGAAGGGACAATGTTCATTGGAGTAAACAAGCAAGAAGTAAATAAAAATAACCCATCATCCCACCAATGAACAGTTGTCATTGACAACTGCTTCCGGGCTTTTCCCTATGACTCGATAATGGTTAGATACAGAAGTAGAAGTGTTTTGCCTCTCACTTCATTCACATTATAAGATACTGTGAATGCTCCTGTTTGTTCAGTGGTTCCCCTACAAGAGAACTGTTCGTGGCAGCTTCCTGCTCTGGCACGTGGGCTCGTGGTGGCTGATCGGCCCATCTCCTCTTGGGGGCTCTGAGGATTTACAGTTCTCCAGTCTTCCCAGGGTTGTCATAAACCCTCTCTCAGCCCGATCTTTGGACTAATCTGTGAATATTTCCTTAGGATAAATCCCCAGAAATTTAATTGTGAGGTCAATTCCAGGATTTTCTTCAGAAGCAGAATTTGCAGCTGGAAATGAGGAGGTAAGTGGGCCAACTGCTGGCCTGTGTGTTCTTCCTCCCTTGGCCTCCGGTCCAGATCCCACACTCCCAACCCTGATTTTTGCAGCATCTGAGTGTTTTTCAGGGATTCATGAAAATCTTCCCAGGAAAACGCCATTGATTTAATTTTCCTTTCATTTGGAAGTCTCTGTTTTTGTAAGAAGTCTGGTGGGAAAGTTGCCTTCATGGTTATGCCTGAGAGCTGGAAGTGGGATGGGGAAGGGAGCTGCATTTCTTCATTCAACAAAGTATTATTTAAAAAAATTTTATTGCTGTACAACACATATAAAGGATGCATATCTTAAGTGTACCTACGATGAGTTTTTACGTATAAATACACCCATGGAACCACCACCCAGGTCAAGGTGAATAACATTTTCCACATCCTGGAAGGTCACCTGCACTCCTTTGTAACATCAAGGAGGGCCTACTGTGGGTGGTGATGGGGATGCAGCCGGGAAGTCAAAATTAAGGTCTGCCCTGTGGCTTAGCGGAATGGGGACACTGTCACAGTTCTGCTGGTGCCAGGACATGCCCCTCACAGAGTCTAGGCCTCACATGGATCAGTCGTGTGGGTCAGCTGCCTGGTGGGTTGCGGGCAGGGGCTCAGCGCCTTCCTTTTGCTGCAGGTGTGGGGGGTGCAGGGAGCCAGAGTGGTGCAGGCCTTTGTGTCAGGGGAGTCCTGTCCCCACTTCACCTGCTGTGTCACCTCTCTGAGCCTGCTTCCCCACCAGCAACATACTAACAATAGTTCATTTAATGAGCTGATAAATGTTTATCTCGTAGTCCTATTGGGGCTGGGGGAGCACTGTGGTCATTCCAAGTGTCTAAATGAGAAACCTGAGGCACAGAAGAGATTAAGTAACCAGCCAAGGCTCTACGGCTGGTAAGAGGGAGAGCTGGGATTGCAACGGAGAGCCCACTGCTCCTATAAGATATCTTATAAAAACAAGCATCTCACAGGTTTTGGTGAGGGGGAGATCCTGGGTCACAAACAGAACTGTTTTGTGACAACAACAAGCCACTGTGGCTATAACAACTTCTACCTATCCATCCAGTCATTATCTACCCTCAAAGGCTGGGTGAAAGCCTGGGGTACCCTGGGACCGATGCCCCTCTGGGGCTCAGGCTGCTCATATTCTAACAACAGAGAGAGAGGGTTTTTTTTTGCTGCAAGAGACAGCTGACATTTAACTTGCCCCCTGAAGTGCCAGGTGGTGGGCCAGGCCCCTTACATTTATGTTATCTATGGAATCGTCCCAACCACCTGGGAGGCTTCCCCTCAGTGCTGTAGTGAAGGGAGTAAAGGTCAAAGGGGAAAGGTGAAAACACCTGCCAGGTTTCAAACCAAGTCTGTCTAGGCCCGTCGGCAGGATTCGCAGAAGCCGCCTGCTTTGAGTGGCTGCTTTTCTGTCTCGGGCATCTGCTATGCCAGTCCGTCCTGGCCACTCCTGGTCTCTGGGGGAGACAGAATTGTTCCAGACGGGGTGATGTGTAAGGACTGATGGATTCTTCTGGGAGGCTTTTGTAGAGTTCAGGGTGTGGCCAAAGGGGGATATGTCCACCATGTCACGTGTCTTTGCTTAGGTCAAGGTGGTGGTTGGCAGCCCCCGCACGCTGTCGTAGGCAAGTACCACCTGCTAGTGAAAAGTGGAAACAAACGTATCTTCAGGTCTGAAGAAAACATGTTGTACCCAGGTTTCTTTTCAACCCATGGTGTGAGGGTAACGTGAAACTCAGGTCAGCTGGGGAAATGTGTCAGGTGAGACTCATGGGAGGAGGCAAGAAGCAGCGCCTACTGTATGCCTCGTGTGGTCCGTGAGCTTTGCTTGTCGTCCAGGTGCTTTCAAACTAGGTGAAGAGACCAGACCCAGGGACAGATCATGGGCGGCTTTGGAGCAGCCCCTCTGTGGCTGAGCTCCTTGGACGTTTCACTTCTCCCCTGCCTGACCCCCGCCATCTGGCTTTGGCCTTCACCACTGTACGGAGGCTGCCCTTGTTGGGGGCGTCACCGCAGCTTCTTACTTGCCTTCTCCGGGCGCGGTGCCTGAATCCTGACAGGTGTTCCCTTCCTCCTGAAAACTCTCTGCTCTTTTGGGTCTCCCTTCTCCCCTCCACGTTTTCATTGGCCCAACCCCTTCCTACCTGCGGCTCCATGGGACCCTTCGCGCAAACGGCACTGGAGGGCATTCCTTCACCCACCAGCACCAGCCCTCTCTCCTGTGGCTGCTGGGCAGGGCATCTCGCCACAGCTTCTCATGCGCTTGTTGGTTACCAGACCTTCTCCACACCCGCACTGCTACAGTCACCTTGAAGTTAAAAACTCAGGTGTACAAGCTAGAAACGAGGGAGCTGGTTATTTATTTATTTAGTGTTTGGAAATGATTTCAAGCTGCAGAAAAGTAGGCAAAAATGGTATAAAGAACATCCATATGCCCTTTTTCCAGATCCACTGTGAACATTTTGCGCTATTTTCTTCATCATTTTCTCTCTCTTCCTCTCTCTCTCCACACACACACACACACACACACACACACACACACACACTTTATTTCTGAACCATGTGAGAGTAAGTTACATACACTGTTGCTCTTTAACCAAAAATATTTCAGTGTGTACTTCTTAAGAATAGGAATATTCTCTTGCTACACTGCTGTTATCAACTTCAGTAATTCAGTGTTGACATAACACTGTATCTAATCTACTTACTGGAATTCCAACTTAGTCAGTTGATGCAATCATGTTCTTTATAACATTTTTTTCCCTCCAGTACAGAATCCAGTCCAGGGTCACATACTGTGTTCAGCTGTCCTGTCTCTTTACCTCCTTTAATCTGGAACTGTTCCTCAGCCTTAGTCTTTTTTGATATGGACATTTTTGAGTAATAGACCCCCTCGGCACCCCCCCTTTTTTTTCACTAGAACATTCCTCATTTGGGGCTTGTCTGATGATTCATGATCTTTATGTTTTTGGTTTTATTTAATTAATTTGTTTGTTTGTTTAATTAATATTTATTTTTGGCCACGCTGCACGGCTTGCAGGATCTTAGTTCCATGACCAGGGATCGAACCTGTGCCCCCTGAAGTGGAAGCAAGGAGTCCTAACCACTGGACCACCGGGGCAGTCCCGATGATTCGTGATCTTTAGATTCGGGTTATGCCTCCCTGCCTGGAATATTACATAAGTGATGCTGTGTCCTTCTCAGGACATCACATCTGGTGGCACACAGTGTCCACCTGCCACTCATTGGGGATGTTAAATTTGATCATTTGGTCAAAGTGTTGTGCAACTTCCCTGCTGTATAATTACTATTGTTTCCTTTGTTACTAATAAGCAGTCCTTGTCTTGTGGCAACACTTTCAAGCTGTGTAAATATCCTGGTCCTCATGAAAATGCTCCCCCCCTAGATTTACCAACCACTGACAGCTCATGCCTGAATCAACCTTCCCTATGATGGTTGCACAGTGATTTTCCAACTCCAGCTCTCCCTCCACACTTACCTGCTGGGCCCTGGTATTCTCCTGTAAGCAGAGCCCTCCCTTCACCAATCTGTCTATCATCTGTCTATCTGTCTGTCTAATCTATCAATCATCTATCCATCTGTGAAACAATCTATCTGTATGGACTCAGGGATCTCATTTGTTCCCAGTGGTTTACAATCATTCCTGTTCTTAATTATGTTTATGCTCAGACTGTCCCACGTTTGCCCAGTGGAAGTCCCGCCCAGCTGGTCAGGAAGCGAGCATCTTTTTGATGCCTGTCTTAGCTCTTGCCTCCCATGTCTTACCCCCCAACACACACTGTTTCAAATCCGTCGTGTAGACCTTGCGGGACCTC